CCAATAGGTCGTATTCGTCAAAACCAACTTTGTTCAGGACCGCTTACTTTTATCTAGTCGAGGTCGCAAGTTAGAACAAGCAATTGGAAGTTAAATGGCACACTAGCGCCACTACTGTACATCCTGACTCATAACGAATATACACGCTATCCGCGGGAATGTATACCTCGTCAAAATTAACAAAGCATAATGAACGTAAAATTGGACGACTTCATGTTTTGCCGCATAATAATTGTTATAAATCAGGTAACAGCAGCGAATTTTCAAATGTGATGTACATCATCCAATAAGTCTCATTTACTCGACCAAATTTGCCAAAGACAGCAATCTTTCATCTAGTCAAAATACCAAGTTGAGCAAATAATTTTAAACCAAATGATGCATTAGTGCTACCTGCAGGACTAATTCTAAACTGAGCTGTTCGCCATCCAATCCAGTATTTCGCTCGAAATCGTTTAAAGTGGGGTTGCCAACCCGATCAAAGTCCAGCATCAAAATGACAGCAAATTGAAATCAAGTTTTGATATAAACATCGAACTGAAATCATAATTTGATTTCAGTTTAAGCAATTGACAAATTTGATACCTAATTTTGTTTTCATTTTGCTGTACATTTGCTCTTCAAAAATATGTTGTTGCAGGTTTGTTTTCATTGCCTTAGCATAACATCAAATTTAAAACTTGTTTTGTTATCAACAGGAAAAATTAGTATCAAATTTAGTTTTCAGTTTGCTCTCACTGATAGCAGAAATAGTTTTCAATGTGATGTCACAGGAAGATTTGTTTGCTCTCAATTTTCTCAAAAACCGTTAAAACGACCAAAACGATAGCATCTGAGTAATCATTATCAGTGAAATCACAACATCAAATTTAGATTTCAATTTGATCTCAGACTTTACTCGGGAACTAAGTGAGTACAATTTTCCTCGATTATCCTTAAAAATCTGCATGACCGATGAGAGTTCACTCAAATATTCATCGATTGTCTTAAATATTCGAGTTAAATTTGGAAGACAATTGAGGAAAATTTTACTAATCCAACTTTTTGAAACGTTGAGACAGATTCGACTCAATTCTAAGCTATTTTCATCGGCCGTGCGCTCGAATACGATGAAAATCGAGATATTTTGACGTGGGACTACGTCTGTGATTTCTATATGAGGGTACACTTTGTGAAAACCGAAAATGGCACATGTAACGAAATCATGAAAGATTTTGAACGTTAATAACTCAGCTGCCCCTGGACCAATTTCAATGATTTTATCACCAATCGGTCATAAATATTTCTACGCATCGATAACAAAGCTTACAATTGTTGATTTTCCAACAAGAAGCCATTGAAAAAGTGGTAATTGTCAAGCATTGTTCAAAAGCGTCTAAATAACTAACAAATCTACCAATCACGTACATGCATATGCTGCTTCCCCAACACAGTCATCAAAGACTCGCTTCTAGACGAAACATGTCGATGTAGCATTGCAGCTTCCCCAACACTGTCATCAGAGAGTCGTTAGTAGACGAAACAAGTCGAAGTGGCATTCGCCTCCGATCTTCGGTCGTGTGCAAATAGGGTGGATGCAATTGTGTAACATTTTGCGCACTCATAGCCATAATCAGAAGCTCACGCCCCGAACGACCACACAAAAAGCACTCCAGGGTTGTAATCTTGGACCCAAACCTGAAAGCAGGGGTGCAAGTGATTTCGATCGATTCTCTTCATCGACTTTTTGTTTCGTTAATAACTCGATGGCAAACAGCACTTTTGTTGTTCTGGATGATAGAAGAGCATAGCAAAAATAGTGCGAAATGGGTTAGTGAAGCCATGGTCATCAACAGAGGAAATCGATGAAGAGAATTGACTTTCACCCCTCTGCTTCTAAGCCCCATAATTCAGTCGTCGTCATAGCAATGAAAACTAGTATCGCATCGCTTTTGGTTCGACATTTTCGAAGAACCACCAAAAAACATGGGGATGCCTATAAGTCGAATTATTCGATTAACGATTAATCGTGAAGATTTTTCCAGCAATTCGATCAAATTTTCAATTATTCGAGCGCGTAACCCTCTTATTTCTACTCGTTTGATTTAGGGCAGTAGAAAAAATAAATAAAAGTACTTATTTATCTGAACAGGCATAGGGAAGAACCATGACGTGAAACAGGATCATAAATTCACCGAAAAAAGTATTAAGCGTCTTTCTGCTAAAGGCTAATATTTACCAACTTGTTGAAAGAAGAAGTTTAACGAGAAAAACTAAAAAAAGGAGGAGCTTTAGCTGGGTGGACACTAGAGTGATGCAAAATTTGAAATTTTCGCTCCACAATACTTAAACGATTCCAAATCGGATCCTGACTAACCTCTCAAAATTTGAACCCTTTTGGTGAGAAACTGAGATGGCACAAACCATTTGAAGTTTGTATGGGAATTACTATGGGAAAACCAAGTTTTTTGTTCATGTCGATCTAATAATTCACCATATGGGTCTGCTTCAAAAACTGTACTTGTAGGAAATTTTTCTAGCTACAACTTTGCTGAAGACCACTTTTTGATTAAATGCAAGGATCGAAAGTTATCAATGGTTCAATGCGCTGATGTCTTATGATCATGCTCCATCAGCTGCTCAGCAGGCAACATTGGTGTTTCTGGGGCGTTGAATAGGACACAAAAATCATGGCTACTATGTCACACTGCAAAATACAGTGTTGCCTACAGAGCAACTGCTTGATCATGTCATAAGTTTACCAATCTCTTAAATAATTAATAACTTTTTCCTGTCTCGTTTTACATAGAAACGGTCTTCAGCAAAGTTGTAGCTATGAAAATTTTCTATAAGAATAGCAGCTCAATATGGAAAAAGACTAGAAGGCAATGAACAAAAAGTTGAGATTGCCTATAGTAATTTACATGTAAACTTCAAATGGCTTGTGCGAAGTCTGTTTCTAACCAAATGAGTTGTAACTTTGGGAGGCTTATCAGGACACGATTTGAAACCATTTAAGCACTGTGGAGCGAAAATTTCAAATTTTGCATCAGTCTAGTGGACACTGATATTTTGCGGCCTTCCAACCTTCTGCAGTCACCAGTTCAACCCCTGTCCAGCAGCAGACGGGCAGAGACTCTTGCGAGTGCCCAATCATTGAACCGAAGAATATGGAATTGTCCGGTTCGATTTGCAGATCCAGCTGCCTACACGTCATCATCATCATCCAAAGGCTTTTAGGCTGTACTACCATCGTCCTTTTCCTGGGCCACCAAGATTTTCCAAAAGAGTTAAATTTCTGAACATGTCAGAACTAAAATTCATACCAAAAGCTTCTTTTCAGGGCAATCATAGTCATACTAAAGAGTATAAACAGAGAGAACCCTGCTCAAATTCCTACTTGTACACAAAACGCAAGCTTCTGCAAACGTACGTACCGTGTAAATCTCGAAAAACTGTGTAAAAAAGACTTCATTGTTCAAATTTTCCTCATATTCAGCAGTTTTTTTTAACAAAACCGAGGAAATTTTAACTACAATTTTGAGTTAAATTTTACTCAATTTTAATTCAGCCTCATTGACCGTCTAACGAGGTGACAACCGTGACATCAACAGACGAACTCTGTTCTCTCAATAGTCATAGCATGCAAGCATGTGATTGGTTGATTACGACCTAACAGGAAGAAGAGACAACTGGCTTCTTACTCTTTTTTCTCTATCTCTATCTATATCTATCTCTATTACGCACTTCAAATCGGCCAATCACGAGCTGGTTCACATTTGACAGAAAAGTGGTTCGTTTTCGCCCCCGTATTTTCTCCTCTTCCTCTTAAGTGAACCCTACACGATTGCTTTTATTGACAATAATCGTATTATCAATACATGCTATATTGCCGTCAATATATCGAGATTGACAATATTTCTGAATTCACACCATCAATATTATTGTCAATAATACCCCTTCGCGTCAATATATTGATGCGTGTGGGGTTTGCTTTAGATTACGACCAAAAGGTTTGATCAATGCTCACGTAACTTTTCAAAAGTTCCTAAGTAACAAATGTGAACAAATCAGGTTAATCGATACAAACTAGTGGTCTTTTATCATTATATGTGATGCAAAAACACCCATTCAAATTTACTTTCATTTTTTATTTTAAGATGATCATAGGGCAAAATTTATGCAATGTATATTTTGGAATGCTGGGTGCTTGATTGTTACTACGGACATTTGGTCTGCCCAACATGATTCGTGCTCATATTCAGAAGACGGGAGTGTTGAAAGCTAATCTAAATGTATGAGCAACGGAGCCAGTAATTTTGTCGGTCTTCTTCTTCTTCCTCGCATTTCAAGCTTATTGCGTATGGCATATTAGCTTGTTGCGTGCTCTCAACTTAGTGTTCTAGATGCACTTCCACAGTTATTAATTGAGAGCTTTCGATGCCTGTACCATTTTTGCATTAGTATAATTGTGTGGCAAGTACAATCATACTCTATTGCCCAGGGAAGTCGAGAAATTTTCCAACCCGAAAAATTCCTCCGGACCGGGAATCGAACCCAGCCACCTCCAGCATGGTCTTGCTTTGTAGCTGTGCCTTTACCGACTGAGCTAAAAGTGTTAGGTATTCTATTCTGAAGTCTGTGAAAGGGAATCTAGTATCATGCAAAACAAAGCGTCCAATGTAATACTAATTGCACTATTCCCAACCTATCAGTAAGGAAGTTGGTGAAAATGGAGGAAGTAAGTATTGGAAATGAAAATGAAAATGACCAAAACCACCGACTGTGCAGTGCTGAAATGTGTCAAGGAACGTTTGTCTGTATCCCGGAAGGCGCAATCAACGCGTCGAAGCGGTACAGGCTTTCATACCGAATCCAGGACTTTCGGACGCGGATGTGGCTAACAAACTCGGTGCAGTTCGCAGTACAGTTCGAAATATACGCATTCGGGATAGATACCTTCCGATATTTTGAACCACCCTAATGTTCACCCTTCACCATCCCCACCCACTCCTAGTTACCTCACTGCTTGCTGCAGTGAAACTTCCTCACTGATTGATGATGCATCATAGTCATACCTGGAATAGAGATGAGAAATAGGAATGAAGGCATTAGTAATCTGCACTATTCTGCGAAAATGGGATTATATGTTTGCCATCCTCGTCGTTATCAGCGGTCTACTTAACAATGTAAACAATGCATTATATTGGACGAGCTACGCCAAATCTACGATCAAATGCATTGTTTACAGAAGCTGATACGTCCCTTTGAAAAAGTAATCGAGAAATAATGAATTTTTCGAATGATCATACATTGTAAAATGCATACTTTCAAACCATGTACAACTGATCGTTTGATTTAACTACAGTGCGCTACGGTCGACGTCAGATTCCCTCTCTATTCCACGGAACCTACTCGATGAAATCGGACCCCGCAATGTGCATTCCTCGCCACGCTCTAGAAACTCGACTGTCATGGATGGCGGCGAATGGCGCCCACAACACTCACAACGAAGCAACCACGTGCTCGGTCTCCTGAAGGCCCCCTGTCGGCAGTCCCGGCAATCACCGTGAGACGATATCCTGGACTCATGCAATTCGCCCCCGGATCCACCTTGAACCCGAACGGCACGTGAAACTGAAAGCCCGCACTGACAAATCAGCATCGGCAAAACGTCTCCCGTCCCGTCCGAGTGATTCCCCTTCCCCGATCAGGCTGGTTGTGTCCGGCGGACGGCCGAAAGCGGACACCGAAAATATGCAGAAACCGTTAGAAATGTGTACTCACTTAGCATAGAGGTAGGAAAAATGATAAAATGTGGATACACCGCAAAGTCCGACCGACATGCCGCCTTCAACACGACCAATAGGAACGACGAACAACATCACAACAAACACAGCGTATGGACGCCGCCGTCGACTTGATTGGGTTGTGTGTGTGTGTGTGTGTGTGTGTGGCGCAGTCAGAAAATTGGACTCATAGAAGCTGGTTGGCACGCCATGTCGGCCGGTGGAGGTCAGTGGGACCGATCGTACCAAGTAGGCTTGTTCTTCGATGGATTTGCTCATGCACCGGTGCATGTTTAGCATGACGTCGCAAGGCGGGGCCCTTCCCTCAATGGCGTTCATTGGTTGCTGCGTTTTGGTTGAAGTTAATAGTTTGACTGTTTTCGGCAATCAACATTTAAACGGTAATTTCACTGCATTTTCATTAATTTACACGATTTCTTAGTCTTTTAGCTTCAATAGGACTAGATTTAAACAACAGAGCAAACTCAAAATGAGGCTGATTTCGAGTTGCCGATAATAGAACAGCAGTTTAACACGCAGTTCAAATGGAACGGTTGCCGAAGGAAAAGAGATTGCCGACAATCGTTGCACACACCAGAGAAATTTGAAGTGTTGTAAAGACGTTTTCAAACAGTTTCGGACAATTTTGTCGATTTGAATTGACTCTATCCATTCAAATCGACAAAATTGTCCGAAACTGTTTGAAAACGTTTTTACAGCGCTTCAAATTTCGCAGGTGAGTGTGACTATTGTCGGCAGCTTCATTTTCTTCGGCCACCGTTCCATTTGAACGGCGTGCTAACCAGCTGTTCCATTATCGGCAACTCGAAATCAGCCGCAGTTTTTAGTCCGCATATTTCATTTAAAGATAAATCTGACATAACAGGACTGCTCAGTCGTAGAAATCCAATCAGATTGAAGCTGAAGATTATAATGTATATATCTATTTCCTATTTTCCCGCACCATGGAGTTTGTGCTAAGTCAGTTTCTTATCAAATGAGTTTAAACTTTCGGAGGCTAATCAGGACCCGATTTGGAACCTTTTGAACACTGTGGAGCGAAAATTTCAAATTTTGCATCAGTCTAATGTGCATCGATGACCTCGGATTGACTGGCAGAGTGCATGAGCGTAGAAGACCGAAGAAACGGGCCCCGTAAGTACAGAAAATCTAGCGTTAAGATGAGCAAATTCTAGTAGATAAGAAAGAGAGAAGGTATTAATGAGGAAGCCAGGAAATTATGGAAAGTCGCGAAAATGGCGTCCTAAAGTGGTTCCCAAGAAGATGAAACCGGCCAATACTCCGGAAATAAGACCAATTGAGGAATACTGGCCGATTGTGAAGCACATACTGAAGAAAAAGGGTGGAACTGCAATTGGCCTGAAGTATTTCAAGCGGAAATGGAATTTGGCAGCCTGCAGCCGACACTGGCCGATCTCGGTTAAGCCTGCGGCTTAAGCGCCACTCCGGTAAAGGAGACCGCAGGCCACGTTGAGTTTGCCCGGATGAGACTGCCCCAGGGGGAGTCCAAGTGAAAATCTTCCTAGAAAGAAGAGATCGAGCCAGCTTGACTACTACCGAATTTTATCGATTAGAAACCTCTATTACGAAACAGCATAATCTCTCACAACACCGAAATAACTCCAAAAAGCTCCCGGTAAGAGAATACACAAACCCTAAACGACGTTCCACGTCAAGTTCTCCTCATCGGAAGTTTCCCTTAAAATTCCGCCAGAGGCGCAGCTGCAGCAAAAGAGGTACGCAACATAACAGTCAAATTCCGACCACGCGGAAGACAACAACATAATTCCACGGACCCGAAAACAACGTAAGGATACTTTTTTCCTCTCATTCTAATCTTTGATAGGACTGATCAACAACATTACATCAATTTCAAATCAAACATTTATTTCACAACGGAAAACGGTAAGTTGAGATTTTATTATTGACTAAAGCAGCCTTTTACGAAAGTTCTATTGTTTGTATATTTTCCTACTCCTCTTTATTCTATTTCTCTATCTAGTCCTATTCTTGTGTGCGTAACTACCTATCTGTGCTGTGCTCTTGTGTCTCTTCCTGATGAATCCCACGACGATGCAGCAAGCGGGGAACGGCAAAGCTTGGCACCCGGGTGTCTAACATTGATGGGTTGGGTGGGCATCCATGTATGACGTTACGTGCGCACGTTTGTCTTGCCGACACCCAACCTTACAATTCTTGGACTTCTCCAAATGTTAGCAATTCATGCTCTTCGACCTTATGGTCGGCAAAAAATGTCCTCCGTGGCGCCCTCGCCGGACGCCACACTCAACGAAAAAAACAGAACGGACTCACCAGTTGGTTTAGCTGCTGATGATTGCTGCGCTGCTGTTACTGGCGCGGCGACAATGCTACTTCAATCGATGCGCGTTCGACCGTTGGTGTTTGAACGGCCAACGATTTCCACGTGGGTGGATGAACCACAAAGCCCCGCTCAGCGATGTAGATGCGGATCGCTTTCCACCGGACAAGGTGACGGTTGCCGGGATTATTCACCCCGGGGATGCAGATGCTGACGTTGGAAGCGTAAACGTAGCCGTCGGCTGGTGAAAAGAACATTAAGCACAATGCACAGATTTCTTTTAACGCTTCAAGCTTCAAAAGAAGAGCGACAAGAGTTAGAGGAGATCATCCGGCTATTTCTTGGTCGAACAACTCTATTGGAGCATGAAATTGTCCTGCGAGAAGATGCAAAACCTAGGCGACAACCTGTCTACAAATGTTCACCAGCCATTCAGGCGGAGATGGATCGCGAAATTGAGCGATACAAGAAGGTAGACGCCATTGAAGAATGTTCGAGTGAATGGGCAAACCCTCTAGTACCGGTTCGTAAAGCAAACGGTAAACTAAGAGTGTGTTTGGATTCGCGAAGGATAAATACGATGACGAAGAAGGACTCGTATCCCATGCGGGATATGAGAGGCATCTTTCACCGTCTAGAGAGTGCAAAGTTCTTTTCAGTAATAGACCTGATAGATGCGTATTTCCAGATTCCTCTAAAGGAAGAATCTCGTGATTATACGGCATTCAGAACCTCGAAAGGACTCTACAGGTTTAAGGTCTGTCCGTTCGGATTAACGAATGCGCCATTCAGTATGTGTAGTCTGATGGACAAGGTAATAGGATTCGATTTAGAGCCCTGTGTTTTTGTCTATTTAGACGACATAGTCGTGGCTACCAAGACGCTAGCAGAGCACTTCAGACTATTGAGACTTGTAGCAGAAAGGTTACGGAAAGCGAACTTAACTATATCGCTGGATAAGTCACGATTCGGCCGTAAACAAGTTAGCTACTTAGGCTACCTATTGACTGAGAAAGGTGTGGCTATTGACAGCTCCAGGATTGAGCCCATTTTAAACTACCAGCAGGCCTAAATGTGTGAAGGACATACGCCGGCTTTTGGGGTTAGCAGGATTTTATCAAAAGTTTATAAAAAACTATAGTAAAATCGCTGCCCCGAAAGCGGACCTTTTGGACTGAAGCAGCAGAGGAGGCCTTCCAGTACCTAAAATCAGCGTTAATATCGGCACCGATACTTGTAAACCCCGATTTCTCACAACCATTCGTCATCGAGTCTGATACATCCGACAATGCAGTTGGTGCAGCATTGGTTCAAAAGTTTGAAGGAGGAACACGAGTGGTTGCATATTTTAGTAAAAAGCTAAGTAGCACTCAGCGCAAATACGCGAGCGTGGAAAAAGAATGTTTGGGGGTGTTACTAGCCATCGAACATTTTCGCCACTTTGTGGAAGGGACAAAGTTTAAGGTTGTAACAGATGCAAGAAGCTTGCTTTGGCTGTTTACAATTGGCATCGAATCCGGAAATTAAACTCCAATCCTACGACATCGAGTTGGAGTATAGGAAAGGGAAACTCAACATAACCGCGGATTGCTTATCACGATCCTTAGATGCCATATCCATAGCTCTTGTCGACCCTGACTACGAAGACCTTGCAAAACAGATCACAAGCGACCCACAAAGTTTCGCGGACTTCCGAGTCATCGATAATCGGATATATAAGCTGGTAAAAAACCAAGGAAAATTGGAGGACACCCGTTTTCTATGGAAGCAGTACCTGTCGAAAAACGAACGAGAGGAGGTCATGAAAACCATTCATAGCAAGGCGCATTTAGGATTCGAGAAAACGTTGGCTGCCATTAGAGAGAGGTATTTTTGGCCTCGAATGAACTCTCAAATTAAGAACTAAATTGTCGGGATTGTTTAACTTGCCAAACCAGCAAAGCTACGA